TAGTCCGAATAGTTAATTATCAGCGTAGGCTGTTGACTATTCGTTTATTGATTGACAAGCGGATCATGTTGAGTGGGTGTACGGTGATGGCTCAGTGAGGAATAATAATTAACATCGACACAACTCAATAGGTATTGCATGGAGAAACATCTCGTGTATTAACCTGCTTTTGCAATCTTTTCTCTTGCAATTAGATCACCTGAAAAGAACAAAGTCATTAAGTGATTGGTTGTCGACTGTTCGTGGAGGTCACTGATAGCAGTGATATGAAATTTATATGGTATGCAAGGGAAAGATGATACTTCAAAGAGAATTATTGACAAATGCATGTGGCTTTAGCTAGCTATTCACACTCGTGATTAACCCACTGTAGGATTGTATTGCTGACTAGTACGAGCCAACGAGCAGAATATCTAGGGTCAGGAGGAGCTTCATGTCAGTAGCCCCAAAACTAATTACCAACAAAATCTCTGAGTTCACGGTGACGGATATCCAGCTAGCTTGTTGATGCACACATAACAAACTTGACTGATGGAATTCAGTCGCCAGAAAACGCCAAAGATAACATGTACGACACTAGATATTGTCCAATCGAAGTAAAACATACTCTGGGGTTTTCATATTTTGTATAGTTTGGTTTGTAAGGATTAGTTATGTTTTACGGGTTGATCACGGATTGATATCAGTTAGAGAACCATTGAAAACCAGGGAGTACTGGACAGCTGCTGTTTCATCCTAGTTTGGGAATCATCGTCAGTACGCACCCACTGGGTTTCGAACCCGGGACCTTCCGGTTACAAGGCAAGCTCGTATACCATTCAGCCACTGGGACCCGATTCAATGGCTCGTGAATTCTAACTTCTACTAATTCGTGATTTAGCGCGACCCCAACCATTGTCGTTGGTGGGACATCCATCCACACACGTGACATCTAATTGGACCTCACTGGTCACGACTTCTCACTAGAACTCAGGAAACTCCAACCTGTAGCAAGTCACTAGCGAGCATCAGATTAACTTTCTATAGTTTGGTTTGTAAGGATTAGTTATGTTTTACGGGTTGATCACGGATTGATATCAGTTAGAGAACCATTGAAAACCAGGGAGTACTGGACAGCTGCTGTTTCATCCTAGTTTGGGAATCATCGTCAGTACGCACCCACTGGGTTTCGAACCCGGGACCTTCCGGTTACAAGGCAAGCTCGTATACCATTCAGCCACTGGGACCCGATTCAATGGCTCGTGAATTCTAACTTCTACTAATTCGTGATTTAGCGCGACCCCAACCATTGTCGTTGGTGGGACATCCATCCACACACGTGACATCTAATTGGACCTCACTGGTCACGACTTCTCACTAGAACTCAGGAAACTCCAACCTGTAGCAAGTCACTAGCGAGCATCAGATTAACTTTCTATAGTTTGGTTTGTAAGGATTAGTTATGTTTTACGGGTTGATCACGGATTGATATCAGTTAGAGAACCATTGAAAACCAGGGAGTACTGGACAGCTGCTGTTTCATCCTAGTTTGGGAATCATCGGCAGTACGCACCCACTGGGTTTCGAACCCGGGACCTTCCGGTTACAAGGCAAGCTCGTATACCATTCAGCCACTGGGACCCGATTCAATGGCTCGTGAATTCTAACTTCTACTAATTCGTGATTTAGCGCGACCCCAACCATTGTCGTTGGTGGGACATCCATCCACACACGTGACATCTAATTGGACCTCACTGGTCACGACTTCTCACTAGAACTCAGGAAACTCCAACCTGTAGCAAGTCACTAGCGAGCATCAGATTAACTTTCTATAGTTTGGTTTGTAAGGATTAGTTATGTTTTACGGGTTGATCACGGATTGATATCAGTTAGAGAACCATTGAAAACCAGGGAGTACTGGACAGCTGCTGTTTCATCCTAGTTTGGGAATCATCGGCAGTACGCACCCACTGGGATTCGAACCCGGGACCTTCCGGTTACAAGGCAAGCTCGTATACCATTCAGCCACTGGGACCCGATTCAATGGCTCGTGAATTCTAACTTCTACTAATTCGTGATTTAGCGCGACCCCAACCATTGTCGTTGGTGGGACATCCATCCACACACGTGACATCTAATTGGACCTCACTGGTCACGACTTCTCACTAGAACTCAGGAAACTCCAACCTGTAGCAAGTCACTAGCGAGCATCAGATTAACTTTCTATAGTTTGGTTTGTAAGGATTAGTTATGTTTTACGGGTTGATCACGGATTGATATCAGTTAGAGAACCATTGAAAACCAGGGAGTACTGGACAGCTGCTGTTTCATCCTAGTTTGGGAATCATCGTCAGTACGCACCCACTGGGATTCGAACCCGGGACCTTCCGGTTACAAGGCAAGCTCGTATACCATTCAGCCACTGGGACCCGATTCAATGGCTCGTGAATTCTAACTTCTACTAATTCGTGATTTAGCGCGACCCCAACCATTGTCGTTGGTGGGACATCCATCCACACACGTGACATCTAATTGGACCTCACTGGTCACGACTTCTCACTAGAACTCAGGAAACTCCAACCTGTAGCAAGTCACTAGCGAGCATCAGATTAACTTTCTATAGTTTGGTTTGTAAGGATTAGTTATGTTTTACGGGTTGATCACGGATTGATATCAGTTAGAGAACCATTGAAAACCAGGGAGTACTGGACAGCTGCTGTTTCATCCTAGTTTGGGAATCATCGTCAGTACGCACCCACTGGGTTTCGAACCCGGGACCTTCCGGTTACAAGGCAAGCTCGTATACCATTCAGCCACTGGGACCCGATTCAATGGCTCGTGAATTCTAACTTCTACTAATTCGTGATTTAGCGCGACCCCAACCATTGTCGTTGGTGGGACATCCATCCACACACGTGACATCTAATTGGACCTCACTGGTCACGACTTCTCACTAGAACTCAGGAAACTCCAACCTGTAGCAAGTCACTAGCGAGCATCAGATTAACTTTGTATAGTTTGGTTTGTAAGGATTAGTTATGTTTTACGGGTTGATCACGGATTGATATCAATTTTTATCATATTTATAAATTGATATCCCTATTAATTGTTATAGTGGGTATTAATGATCATTAAACCTGTGCAATAGCCAATTTTCACATTATATAACGAATATTATTTTAGTTATCGATGACGTTTTGAAAGTAATCAGTCGTTTCTTGCTTACGTCTTGGAGCATATGTCCTATTCTTTCGAATAACTGTGAAGACGAATCAGAAAAATACACATTCATTCAAATAAATGTGTTGAATGGAGACATCATAAAAAAGATATATCTGAAACATTGGCATGTCTTTGGATATTTTCTTATATTATGTGAAAGAATGGTGTGTCACCATGTGGTGAAATTCACGTTGCAGATTATTTCCTAAATTTCGCTTGCAAACAACACCGATTTTGCAGGCAAAACGAGTGAATCACGGCGTCATCAAAATCCTGCACGCTCCTTCAAACCATCGACTGCTGACAGTCTCAGATGCTTGAGGAAGAATTTCGGAATTCAAGACATCGTTGAATTCCGGTCAAAGTGTCTGCACTGTGGACGAGGCGTGGACGAACTTTTGCGTGGTTGATGTTCTTGCTGTTGTTGCATCGGACTGAGAGGCGTCCGAAGTCAGCAGAAGACAGCCATCTCGTGATCGGGGTATTCATCCGGTGACTCATTCACGGATTTGTGTTCGTGGCGAATTCTTCACTGAAATAAATACAATTACCCTCACTAGCTCAACACC